CTCAGGAGGCTGAGATCTGAGGATCAGGATTCAAATCCAGCCTGGGCAGGAAAGTCCGAGAAACTCTCTAATAAACCACTCAGAAAACCAGAAGTGGCACTGTGGCTCAAGTGGTGGAGTGCTTGCCTTGAGCTGAAGAGCTGAGGGACAGTGCCAAGACTGAGTTCAAGACCCATAACCGACAAAAAAAAAAAAAAAAAGCTTAAGTGGTAGCATACCTGCCTACCAAGTATGAGGTTTAGAGTTCAAACACCAATAACTATAACAATAATGATGACAATAATATGATCTTACTGGCCAGAGATTACCAATACTTTCTTTACTTTTTTCTTTCCTTTTCTCCTCCCCCCCCCCAATTAATAACAACTTCATCAGAAACCCTCCAGAAAGGACTGTAGGTAATGATGAACTAAACTACTAAACTATACCTATGATTTAGTCATTATGCTTACTTCCCTCTGCTCCTAGTTTTGTTTTGTTTTTTGTCTATTTATACTTGTAGCTCATGTCTGTACCTTAAAGATGACTGAAGATGTATTAAAGTGCTGTCTTGTGATGGCATACCCAGGCCGTGTAATAAATCTCCTTTCTCTGTCCTTCATCATGTCTCTTTATTCAGTGTAAATAACTGAGTGCCTATACCTAAGAACTCCTGGAATTTGGACGTGAGGCCTAAAAACTCCAGTTTCAAAAATTATACAAATATTCAGAATCTATTAATTATATCTTTAGTTATCTCAAATTCTGGGCCTGAGGGCTGGCCCTGAGCTCTTCAGCTCAAGGTTTGTGCTCTACCACTTGAGCCACAGCACCACTTCTGGTTTGCTGGGTGGATTATTGGAGATAAGAATCTCACAGACTTTCCTGCCCGGATCCCCAAATCTCAGCCTCCTAAGTAGCTAGGATTACAGGCGTGAGCCATCAGTGCCTGGCTACAGTGAGATTTTTATAGATATTAAATTTCCAGTATAAAAAGTGAAGATTCATGGGCTTCCATCACATGGAAAACCACTGCTCAGGTAACAGCAGCAATAATAGGCACATTATTGTATACCTGCCAAGGGCCTGTTCTAAGCATTATACATATATAGGTGATGGTCTCCTAACCCTTTATTTTGAAACTAGTTTTCAAAAAGGTATATCAACTGTCCTTATAAGACTATATTACCTTGCATCTGTGACTAACTTCAGGACAGTGAGGAGTGGAAATTTCCTTAAAAGTTGGGTGGGTGGGGAGGGATGATCTTTCTTTTCCTGCTTATTGGACCAAGAATGCCACGGTTAGAAAAGGGAATAAGGGCTACACTGTAGGGATGCTAGACAGTGAACTAGAGGAAGTCATGATGATCTCCAATCCTGATGACCTGCTTCTGGATTTATTTACATTTATGGGAGGGATTGAACCCAGGGCACTTTACCATTGAGCTATGTCCCCATCCTTGCTTCTAGATTTCTTTTGGGTAAGAGAAAATAAGAGGGCTGGGAATGTGGCTTAGTGGTAGAGTGCTTGACTAACATGCACGAAGCCATGGATTTGATTCCGCAATACCACCATCTGGAAGTGGTGCTGTGGTAGAATGCTATCGTTGAGTAAAAGCAGTGCAGGAACAATGCCCAGGCCCTGAGTTCAAGCCCCAGGACTTGTAAAAAGAGAGAGAGAGACAAAGATTCTATTCTTTAAGTTGCTTTTTTCCCCCCTGTTAGATGGCACCACCAAATATAACCTTAAAGTAACATTTTGTGGATGAGAAAACTAGGGTACTAGGGTAACTTGTTTGATGTTACAAAATTAGTAAGAGGCAGAGATAACTTTTAGTTCACATTGTCTTACTTTATACGCTTAATACTCTTACAGTATATTGCTCCTTGCTATAAAATTGTAGGAAATGGGTATAATACAGGAAAGTAGTTTAACAAATTGCACTATAAACCAGTGCTGGACCTGAGTAGCCTCATAAGGTAGCCTTCTTTAGCAGAGGTAATGCTGAAGGTGACTGATTATTGTGAGTTGTCTGTTGGAAGCTCTCAGCAACTAGAAGAGATTTATTCCTGAAGGGGAACTAGATCTTCCAGGCACATCATAGTATCTACTATCTATGCATGATATTACACCTTTTTCCTGTTGTTTTGTGTGTGTGTGAACTACTATTTAATCTCATTGATTTTTTTTAAATCGGTTGTGGGGCTTAAACTCTGGGCCTGGCTGCTGTCCTTGTGCTCTTCAGCTCAAGGCGAGTGCTCTACCACTTGAGCCACAGTGCCACTTCCGGTTTTCTAGTGGTTTATTGGAGAAAAGAGTCTCACAGACTTTCCTGCCCAGGCTGGCTTTGAACCACAATCTTCAGATCTCAGCCTCCTGAGTAGCTAGAATTACAGGTATGAGCCACTGAAGCCTGGCTCATTATTTCTAAAGTCCCATAATCCAGGCAAGTTATCTGATTGGAGATAGTACACAGCATAGGTACCCTTTTCTCCTTGTTAGTCAATACTAGTTGGGTTGGGCTGATTCTTTCCTCATGATCGTTCTGGGCTTACGAGTTTTACAGCGGAAGACCAGGGAGTGTCATCACATGTCAAGGACATACATGGTCAACATGGTAGATCATTGTTGATATTAACTTCCATTTCCTAGCTTTAAAAAGTGGACTTTTACCTTAATTCATTTAATACATACTCTTATAACTACCCATAGAAAAGCATTTATCCACTGTCTTGGTGCTTTCTGGATTATACTCATAAGTAGGTTGATGAGATAACCATCAAAAGAGAAAAAAAGGGGAAAGAGCATTGGCTTTCAAACTGCAGCTATAGCATTTACTAGATTATAACTTTAGCCAAGTTACTTACATGTGTTTCATACATTATAGTTTTGGATATGCCAGAATCCCATATAAAAAAGAAAACAGGGGCTGGGAAGGTGGCTCAGTGGTAGAATGCTTGCCTTGCATGCGTAAGGCCCTGGGTTCGATTCCTCAGCATCACATAAGCAAAAAGAAAAAAGCCGGAAGTGATGCTGTGGCTCAAGTGGTAGAGCGCTCGCCTTGAGCTGAAAGAGCTGAGGGACAGTGCCCAGGCCCAGAGTTCAGGCCCCA